TTAGCAAGTTGAAGCCCTGAGGCCCGTTGGCAAAGCTGGGGCTCTGGAGCTGAGTGTGTGCACCTGTGGGACAGGCTTAGAAGAGACTTTTAGTGGCCTCCCAGAGATGGGAACGCGGATTGCATCTGCATGGTGCTTTCAACTGGTTAGACCCCGTCTCTCAGAGACCCAACAAAGCATAGTCCAGGTCCTCTGAGACGTTAGGCTCCAAACCCTGAGACCCACACCAAACAGCAGAAACCAGAGGCCAGTGCTGCCTCGAGGCTGGAGGGGACGTAGATCCAAGCGAGCGTCGCTATCTCATGCGGGCACGGACCACAGAGATCCCAGAGGGAGAGCACGGCTGGGGGCCTCCAGGCTGTGGGCACCTCACTCCTCAGCAACGATCCTGCCCCTCGGGGACTTGCACTTCAGCTACACTGCCCTGTCCTACTTCTGCCCTGTCCTCCAGACAGTACCTCTCTCCTGAAGACCTCAGGGGCCACCCGCGGTGCAAAATCCTGATGTCCTCATCACCCGGGGACTCTGCCACTGCGCCTCAACTGCCTTCTCCCATCCTCTTCACCGCCCCCCCCAACATGTTCCAGGTCCCGAATTCCCACGTGCAACATCTCCTCTGAGCACCACAATGCCCTCTCCTTCCGGACACCTGTTCAAGGACCCACCCCCTCCATCAGTCATTACTATACTGAAGTATCTGAGGCAGACGAACTTGATAAAGCAATGAGGTTTGGTTTTGGCTTACGGTTTTGGAGATGCCCGGTTGGGAGGTCGAGGGCCTCATCTGGTGATGGCTAAGGATCCCAAGGCAGTCAAAGCATCACAGGGCAAGGGAAAAGGAGTGCACATGTGTGTGTGCTGGGCCCTCTCTCTCCTTATAAAGCCACCTGGATTCCACTATGAAGGCTCCGCCCTAATGACCGATGCTAATGGAACCACTTCCAATTCCCCACCTCTAAACATGGTGGGAGTCATATGGGCGCCGGTCCCTGACCCGGCTGCTCCACTTCCAATCCAGCTCCCTGCTAATGTGCCTGGGAAACAGAAAATGCCCCAAGTGCTTGGGTCTCTACACCCGTGTGGGAGACACAGGAGAAGCTCCGGGCTCCTGGCTTTGGCCTGGCCCACCCCAAGCTGATACAGCCATTTGGGGAGTGAACCAGCAGATGGAAGATCTCTCTCCCCATGTCTCTCCCTTTCTCTTTCAAATAATTAAATAAATCTTTTTTAAAATGGTGGGAGGAAGCTTCCACCCTTTTAATACTTTGGACAGAAGACTCTGAGGTCTAACTTCCTGCATGACTGGGGAAACAAATCACATTCAAACCACAGCAACCCCCCACCGCCCCCAGTTCTAACCCAGTGCCCTCAGTCCTCGAATTCCTACTTCCTCCCAATCCATGAGCATCTCTGTGTGCCTTAGTATTCAGCTCAGAGTCCATAATTCATCACGTGACTACTAGTAACACTCAGATCAGTAACCAGAACTGCTCCTCATCCGCATCCTAACCCCACATAGAAAATTCCAGGGAAACCCCCAGCCCTGGTCTGCCTGGAACAATCCAGTTTTTTCCAGTTTTCACAGCCCCACAGCCACAGATGCTAGAGAAGATGTCATAAACAAGGTCAAGTGGATCCACTGTGATCTCCGTCTTCCACACCTTCTCCCCTCTGCCCCTACACCCACTCTCCAAGGAGTTCAATCCGAGGGAAATGGAGGCAACAGAGGCATGTCTACGTCAGTGTACCAAGCACAGACGTACCCCTCCTACCCGCTTCCTCCTGTTACCTGGAAGAAACATCCTTCCACCTGTGCTAATGTCCACACCTGCTCAGGGGGCTCCCATTGCCTGCTCACACCTCTGCTCGGATCTTCACCAAGGCTTCGTCTCAGTGAGTCCTTACTTGAAGAGATTTGCAGTCTAAAACTCTTACTTTGGGGCCTTCCAATCAGCCTGCTTTTCCAGCCCTACTGGATACTGAATTTCTGGAGTCTCTCACCTCCCTTTTGGTTTTTCTTGCAAGCCAGCCCGTTCTTTCTTGGGCTCATTTCTTTCTCGTAATACCTTGATGAGAGCCCCAGTGATTTCCAAACTCTTCATGACAGATGTTCCCCCTCGGATCCGCTCTCCACCCAGGCCAGGAGGTCTACATATAGGGATTGCTCACAGCTGCCTTGCCTAATGGGGATCCCTGGAAGGACAAGGCAAAGACGACGACGCTGAGGTATTTATTCCCTAGCTCCTTCCCAGCAAAGCTGCCCCGAGCTTGCTGCCTCCCTCAAACTGAAGCATGCTATACGGCCACCTTCTCTCCACAATTCTCTTCTGGTTTAAGAAACTGCTCCTTAGGGCCGGCGCCGCGGCTCACTAGGCTAATCCTCTGCCTTGTGGCGCTGGCACACCGGGTTCTAGTCCCGGTCGGGGCGCCGGATTCTGTCCCGGTTGCCCCTCTTCCAGCCCAGCTCTCTGCTGTGGCCAGGGAGTGCAGTGGAGGATGGCCCAAGTCATTGGGCCCTGCACCCCATGGGAGACCAGGAAAAGTACCTGGCTCCTGCCATTGGACCAGCGTGGTGCGCCAGCCGCAGCGCACCAGCCGCGACGGCCATTGGAGGGTGAACCAACAGCAAAGGAAGACCTTTCTCTCTTTCTCTCTCTCACTGTCCACTCTGCCTGTCAAAAAAAAAAAAAAAAATCCTAAGAAACTGCTCCTGAGATCTTAACTCACTGAATGTAGGTACAGTGCCAACCCTGAGCCTGTAGCCCAATGTACTACCCCATCTCTACAGTTTCCTGCTCAGAGCTCCCAGATTGTCCTCTGAAGCCCTCTCAAATAATCTAATTAATTGCTATCCTGACAAACACATGAATATTCTGAATTTTTTCTAGTCACTTTTCCTTCTAGTCCTCCCCCCGCCCCTTTTTTTAACTTTAAGGGACCAATTTATTTTAACTAGGGTCCTTTAGGCTGCAAATCTTTCAGATATCTCTCAAGAGATCTTCCATCTGCTGGGTCACTCCCCACATATGGCCACAACAGCTGGGGCCAGGCCAGCTGAAGCCAGGAGGCAGGTACTCCATCTGGGTCTGCCAGGCACATTTACAGGGAGCTGGAATGGAAGTGGAGCAACCAGGATTTGAACTGGTGCCCATATGGGATCCCTGCATTGCAGGTGGCCCCTCAAATAAATTTCTTTTTAAATCTTAATATATATATATATGTATGTATGTATGTATGTATGTTGCATTCTACTTCCAATCTTGGGTTCTTGATTTGGGGTCCCTGTGGACTATCTCTGTGTGTCCAAAATCCTACGAAGAGGATGATCATCATATCCCTGGGGAATGAGGGTACAGACTGAGAAGAGGAAATGTGGAGAAGTGATTGTGGAGAACGGAAATCAAGCTTACCAGGAGATAGTAGGACTGTCAGTGTGAAGTAGGCCATCAGGAACTCACACAGGCTCCGAGCTGCCTTATTGCTGGACTTCCCCTCCAACAGCACTTGGCTGCTGGAGTCCAACCATGGAAAAGCTGGACTGCCACATTCCAGAGTTGGGGATTTTCCTATGCACAGTAAAATGCAAGTGCGAGAGTGTAGGGTATTGATATAAGTGCTATTACTAGTAGACAAAAAGAGACACAGACTCATAGATTGGGAGAAAGTAGAGAAGTAGGAGGACTAGGGGTCCTAATGGAGCCAAAGACTCATGGTACAGGGAAGGGTTGAACAAAACTGTACAAGTGTGTGTTTATCTGTACACATACATAGCAAATACTTGTAGGAAGACATTTCAAAAAGTTCATGGAGGAGCCAGCACTGTGGCATAGCAGGTAAAGCCATTGCCTGCAGTGCCGGCATCCCATATGGGCGCCGATTTGAGCCCTGGCTGCTCCACTTCTGATCCAGCTCCCAGTTGATGGCCTGGGAAGGCAGCAGAGGATGGCCCAAGTCCTTGGGCCCCTGCACCTGCGTGAAGACCTGGAGGAGGCTCCTGGCTCCTGGCTCCGGATTGGCCCAGCTCCAGCCACTGCAGCCAGGTAGGGAGTGAACCAGCGGATAGATTTCTCTCTCCCCCCCTCTCTCTCTATAACTCAACTAAATAAATAAACCTTAAAAAAAAAAGTTCATGGAGGGGCAGACATTTGGCCTGGCAGTAAAGACGCCACTTGAGACACCTGTAGCTCATATCAAAGGGCCTATGTTTGAGTCCCAGCTCCACTCCCAGTTCCAGCTTCCTGCTTGACAATGCACACCCCGGAAGCAGCAGGTAAGGGCTCCAGTGGTGGTTCCCTGGTGCCCAAGAGAGCCCTGGATTCAGTTCCTGACTCCTGACTTCCACCTGGCCTAGTCCCCCAGCTTGCGCTCTCTCTCTCTCTCTCTCTCTATATATATATATATATACACATATATATATACACACACACACATATATACAATATATATTTATATATAATCTGTCCTTTGGATACATGAAAAGAAAAAAAATCATACAAAAACAAAAGTAAAAGATAAGGATTTTTTTTTTCTTCATATAAAAAAATTTTAGGGGCCATCATTGTAGTGTAATGGGTTAAACAGCTGCCTTGTATACCAGCATCCCATACGGGGGCCGGTTCAAGTACCCATCTGCTCCACTTCTGATCCAGCCCTCTGCTAAAGCATCTGGGAAAGGATTGGAAGTTGGCGCAAGTCCTTGAGTCCCTGTACCTACTTGGGAGACCCGGACGAAGCTCTTAGCTCCTGGCTTCAGCCTGGCCCGGACGTTGTGGCCTTCTGGAGAATGAACCAGCAAATGGAAGATCTTTCTTTCTCAACCTCTCTCTGTAACTCTGCCTTTCAAATAAATAAATCTTTAGAAAAATTAAATACATGCATAGTTTTTTTATAACAAATTTTACAAGAACATTTTAAAGACCCCTTATATATACATTTTTTGATTATGGTAACTCCCATACTTATAAAGAAACATTTTTGCTCAAAGAGGACATAGAAAAAAATTATGTAGCTATGAAATAGTTTATTTCAACATATTAAGCCAAAAAATAACAAAACAACTCCTTTCTTTGGATGAAACCCAAATTCTGTACAAGCAGAGTAGGCTTGACTAATTAGATATTTTAACAAAAAAAGCATTTAGCTACATCACACCTAAATAAGCTTTTCACATATACAGTGGATAACAAATAATTTTGTTAAATAACCAGATATTTGAAAAAATCAAAATGTTGCCTCAAAAGAGTTAAGTACACAAGTTAACAGTATTGGGAATCTTTACTGCACCTAAGAATAAAAAGCCATTCTCAGCCCTCCATTTTTCACATTTTCTTTAACAGAACATCTGTATTTGAAGAACTAACTTCTTTCTTCTAAGATCCTCCTTCAGATCAGTAGCTGTTTACAAAATAGCAGAACCATTTAAAGGGAAAAGGAAAAAATAAAAACAAACCATAACAAAAATAGAATAAAAGGAAATGGTGAGGAACAAAGACAATAGATTTCACTTCTGTGTCACCATCCGAGATTCTGCTGGGGAAGATTCCCTGAGGCGGCAGACAGGTCCCTCGGCTGGGTTCAAAACACAATCCCTGACTATAGGACTGCTGGGCCTTCACGCAGCCCATCAGCAGCGTCATCATGGAAAACCAGCTGGGCCAGGCAGCCTCCAGCTTCACCTACTACAAAGGAAATGTGGGAATTCTATGACAGTGATTGCTAAAGTGTAAAAATGCAAAATTCTGAATATTAAATACGTTGTTACAGATGTAAACTGCCATGTCTTCTCAATCATCACCTTCTCCATGCACAAAGGAAAAATAAAGCAGAAAGCCCTAGATGCTCCAAAATGAGACAACTATAAAAGTTTCATATATCGGCACCTGGCTAGGATCAGCTTACACTGCAAGAATAATTATTATTGTATATAATTGGACAGAAAAACCCAGCACTGTATCAAGCTGTCTTCCCAAGTCCTCCCAGGCCATAATTCTATGAGCTACAATAGAAAAATTTTAGCAAATGGAGCCTATCATGGAACTGTAAGTTCTTATATTTCTATATAATTAACCTTAGTTACTATAGCAATGATTTAAATATGAGTGCTTAAAAAAGAGAAAACAGGCCGGTGCTGCGGCTCACTAGGCTAATCCTCCGCCTAGCGGCGCCGGCACACCGAGTTCTAGTCCCGGTCAGGGCGCCGGATTCTGTCCTGGTTGCCCCTCTTCCAGGCCAGCCCTCTGCTGTGGCCAGGGAGTGCAGTGGAGGATGGCCCAGGTGCTTGGGCCCTGCACCCCATGGGAGACCAGGAAAAGCACCTGGCTCCTGGCTCCTGCCATCGGATCAGCGCGGTGCGCCGGCCGCAGCGCACCGGCTGCGGCGGCCATTGGAGGGTGAACCAACAGCAAAGGAAGACCTTTCTCTCTGTCTCTCTCTCTCTCACTGTCCACTCTGCCTGTCAAAAAAAAAGAGAAAACAGTTGTACACATGCTTTTTTTTTCTTTACCTGTGAGATAATATTAAAAAGAGATTCCACAGCTGATTAAGAACTAAGAATTACAGTGTCAAACATCATAAATAAATGTGCAACCTGGAAGCCCAGAAAAGGTAGAGAACACTAACCGTAACAAACCAGTGTATTAAAATCCAGTATTTTATATTAAGACGTCTTCATCCAAATGCAGTTAGGTTTATCACTACTATAAATAAGCCTCACATTAAGGCACCTGTCATGATCTATGAGACAGATTTAGATTCAAAACAAAAGGAATATGCTCTATAAAATTTTTCTTCCATTGTGATCTTATTACAGAAATTGGCAGAGTTGTTTTTTTTTTAACATGCTTTTTTTTTTTTTTTTTTTTACTTGAAAGACAAAGCAAGAAAGATTGACAGACAAATACCTCTACTGTCCACTGGTTCACTCACCAAATGCCCACAACAGTCAGGGCTGGACCAGGCCAAAGCCAGGAGCCAGGAACTCAATTCAGCTCTCTAATATGCACGGCAGCAATCTAAGTACTTAAGTCACCGTCTGCTGCCCTCCCAGGATAGGTAGTAGCAGGAAGCTGGATTGGAGGCAGAGCAGGGACCTGAACCAGGCACTCTGATATGGGATGCAGGTGTTCTAAGCAGCATCATAACTGCTGTGTCAGACGCCTGCCCTTGGATATCATCAATTTTAAATGTTAAGTTTTTGTATGGCAGTAGATAAGTATCTTTGAACTTATCACCTGGATATAATTCAAAAAGTTTCTGTGTATTTTGATACTTTAAAGTTTCATATACATTAATGCTGTGATACTATATGATATTCTAATTAATGAGGGAATAGCCAAAAATCAAATCAAGATGGATGGCAAAGAACTAACTAGATAAGACATGACAACCTCAACACAAAATTATACAGCAGGGGCAGTAACTACGAGATCTTGGCCAAGTCCTTTAACTTCTGTGAGCCTCACTCTCTCCATCTGTGATATTGTGACAAGAGCTGTTCTTCAGGTTCATAAGGCTATTGTGAGAGAAAGTGAAATGTAAAAACACCAGCCCTGAACACACAGACAGTGCAATCGTACACCAAACAGTGCTGGTTTCTGATATTTTCTCTAATAACTAGGTAGGCTCTCCTTTCGCATTCACTTGAGAATTCCCAGTTTTGGTCAATTAGATAATTGCAGAAAAAATGAAAAAAAAAAAAAAAAAACCTCTCACCAAGAGAAAACCTCTACATTTTAACTTCCAGAACTTTATAAAGTAGAGTTTGCTGCAAGTGGGGAATCCTTGCTTAATGGGACCTCATCATACTTCCTAAAATTAAAGAGGGACAGACTTCTCAGAAACCTTGGTTCCTGGCCTCCCCTCAGTCTCTTCGAGAGACCCCTATCACCCTTACCATCTGCTACCCAGCAACACGCATAGTTCCACTAGAAAAACTCTCTTGGGCCAACACTGTGGCATAGGGGAAAAAGTCACCGCCTGCAGCGAGGGCATCCCACAAAGAGACCAGTTTGAGTCCCGACTGTTCCACTTCTGATCCAGCTCCCTGCTTAACAGCCTGGGAAAAGCAACAGAAGATGGCCAAAGTACTTGGGTTCCTGCTATCTACATGGGAGGCCTGGAAGAAGCTCCTGGCTCCTAGCTTCAGCCTGGCCCAGCCTTGGTCATTTGGCCACCTGGGGAGTGAACCAGAGGATGGAAGATCTCTCTCTCTGTCTGTCTCTCCCTCTCTTTTTCTCTCTGTAACTCTTTCATATAAATAAATAAATCTTTTTAAAAAAATAAAAAGAAAAACTCTCTTTTAACAGTGTAAAAGAGTTTTAAGGAGATAAACTAAGAAACAAAGCCAAAGCCAATCACAGGCACATTCCTCAGCTTGGCATAAAATTTGGAACAGTTTAATAACCCCTACCGTGTTCTTTCTTTCTTGGTCCATAAGCCCTTCCTCTATGTATAATGGGTGCTTGATCAGCGTTCCCCATCCTACGTTCTGAACAACACCAGCAGGATAAGATGTTAACAGGTGAAAAGCATATCTGTGTTAAGAAAGTCTGGAATAGCAGGTTAACATACGTTTACTGCAGAATTTCTCAGTCTTTAATGTACTAATTGTACATTGAACTGGAATGGCGCACATAGCATTTGCAAACTCATTTGACCACTAAATTCCTTTATTTCCCACAAAGTATCCAGAAGGGCTAATAGCTCTGAGAATACTCTAGGAAACACTGTTCTAGCCGATGCATCCCAGGACTAAACATCACAGAGCTAAGTCTGCCAATAGTGAACATTTATAATTTCCAAAGAATTATTTTGTTTATAAGGCCAATTGCCATGAAAACCTTATGGATTCTTTGAAAGTATCCTTCCCAAAGCAACAGAGAACTTAATTTCTTTCTGGGAAATTCAAAGAAGTTATTTCTCACATTAATGAGAATTACCTTCCTTTTAAGGAAATCCTTATATTCTTCTCCCAAATATTGAAAATGCAAAGGTCCACTAAATCTTAGATCTTAGACCACAACTACTTTAAGGAGATAAGAGCATTTTGTCACAACATTACTGTAATTAACACTATTAATAACCACAATAATGAGAAATGGTGGTGGTTGTGGTATTTTTCCATCTTAATTCTCATATCCACATTGCACTTTTAAGACCTACTATTAGACCCATTTAAAAGATAAAAACACTGAGACAGAAAAACTGACTTGCCAAGGGTCACACAAAGGAATAAGGACAGGATTTCAAATGCATATCTGACCCTTCACCCCATGCTGTCAATCACCATACAATGCCATCTTATATTCCGGTGAATATAGGTCACATCCTTGCTGTTACACAGGAAGATCACAAGTGTCTTGATATAAAGCAAACATGACTGAAGTTTGGTTTGCATTTCCTTTTTAAGCAAATCCCCACCCCCTTAAAGGAGATATTTCAGGTTTGGTTGGGGGGGGTGGGGAGCAGAGGGAACCAGGGTGCTGTTTACCAATGATGGATTCAGAGTTTTAAAATAGGAGAGGGTTTTAAAAATCTGCGTCTAAGGTGAAGACATTATCTGTGGTTTCCGCCATAACTGCAAAACGCTGATACTCTGAAACTCGTTTCTCAAAGAAATTTGTTTTCCCTTCTAAAGAAATGTTTTCCATGAAATCAAAAGGATTTTCTGCCTGGAAAACCTGAAAAGAAAAGAGAGATTATTGGACAATCTAAAGAAGCCAAAAAGTATCCCACAAGGAGAACAAAGACCACAAAACACGGAGCTCAGGTCTCCTGACACCTATCTGGTCACCCACAGGCCTGCATCAGGCCTTACCGGCACTCAAGGCAGATGCAGTCTACATGACGTGGTTACCTACATGGTCACCCCCACAAGAAGCTACACTAGCATCTCGGGTCCTCGAAGAAACAGAATGAAGAGCATTTTTTCAAGAAAAGAAATATTTAATATTAACCAAATGAAAATGTTTTCACACCGTGAGAAATCCACTAGACCACAGAGACTACAGGCATTTTTCATGTTTATTACTATTAGGTAGTCACGGATCTATAATATCACAAAACATTGAACTACAGACAATGTCCTGTGCTCCTAAATATGCTTCCTCATTCATTAGAGAATAATCAACAAACGGTCACTAAGGGGCCATGATCACGCTGCCCAGAGTGACTACATGTCTCCAAGCAAATGCGGGGCAAAGGCCAACAAGCTTTCTTACTGCTTCTGAACTCCAGCCGCAGATCTGACGGTACAGCTTGATGGAAACTGTGGAATATTTCCGTGATTAACAGAGGGGCACTGAAAGAGATCTGCTGAATTTACGAGGATCCCAGCAGGAATTATGAACACTCCAGCTAAGAATCTGTTCTAATAACCTGATTTTTAAAATCGCAGAAGATCCAAACAGACAGACACTCCTTCAACGAAGATATACTCACACACAAGGTCAACAGGCACAGGAAAAGTGCTTAATAGCATTAGCCAGGAGGAAAATGCAAAGCAAGATTAAATTGTGATGCCACTTACACCCACTGTGGCTATAACAGGTGTTGGTACGAATGTGAAGTTGGGGCCTTCACAAACCAGTGGCAATGTAAAATCGTGCAGCCACTTTGGAAGACAGTCTGGCTGTTCTTCTAGAGATTAAACATGGAGTTACTATGTGACCCTGCAATTTCAACTTAGATCCATGGCCAAGAAAAATGAAAACAGCCGCCCACACAAAAACTTGTACACTGAAGTTCATAGCAGGATTATTCATAATAGCCTAAAAGTGGAAATAACCCAAATGTCCAGCAATTGATGAATGCATAAATAAATTTTGGTATACCCATACAAGAGAGTATTATTTAGCCATGAAAAAAACACCGGGGCTGGGGCCGTCACTGTGGTATAGAGAGTAAAGCTCTGCCTGGGCTGCAGGCATCCCATACGGGTGCCAGTCTGTGCCTCGGCTGCTCCACTTCCGATCTAGCTCCCTGGTAATGAGCCTGTGCAGCCACATGGGAGACCACAATGAAGCCCCTGACTCCTAGTTTTGGCCTGGCCCAGCCCCAGCCACCGCAGCTATTTCAGGAGTACACCAGCAGATGAAAGATCTCTCTGCTGTCTCTGTCTCTCTCTCTCTCTCCCTCTCTCTTTGTAATTCTCTCAAAACAAATTTTAAAAATCTGTATTAAAAAAATACTAAAGCATGCTACAACGTGAATGAGCCCTGAAAACATACTCAAGAAGGAAGAAAGCCACAAAAGACAATGCTATTATATGATTCCATTTTTATGATATGGAAAATATAAAGACCAGGCAAATCCATAGAGACTGAAATTAGATTAGTAGCTGCCTAGGGATGGGAGGAGTGAAAGGAAAAGAGGAGTGAGTGACAACAGAGAATTTCCTTTCAGAGTGATAAAAATTTTCAGAAACAGTTGGTTTACTATGTTCAACAACTTTGTGAACTTTTGTAAAAACCAATGAACTGTACATTTTTACTGGGCAAATTGCATCCTATGTGATTTCTTTCTTAATAAAGCTTTAAATATAGGGGCCAGTGCTGTGGTGTAGTGGGTAAAGCCACCATATGCAGTGCTGGCATCCCATTTGGGTGCTGGTTCGAGTCCTGGCTGCTCCACATCTGATCCAGCACTCTGCTATGGCCTGGGAAAGCAGTGGAAGATGGCTCAAGTCCTTGGGCCTCTGCACCCATGTGGGAGACCTGCAAGAAGCTCCTGGCTCCTGGCTTTGGATCCGCACAGCTCTGGCCATTGTGGCCATATGGGGAGTGAACCAGTGGATGGAAGACCTATCTTTTTCTGTCTCTCTCTGCCTCTATTTCTCTCTCTGTGTAACTCTGATGTTCAAATAAATAAATAACTTTTAAACAAAAAAGCTTTAGAGATATATGACTATCTCCAAAGGAAAAGTTCATATGCTGTATATGGCGGAGTTCTGGAACTCAGTGAAATTGTTAGAAACTATGTGTTAAGAATGACTGAAAATCTGAACTACATTTTACAAGATACAATGGAAAGAGCTCTGGGCCAACAGCCATAGAATCACTGGATTTCGGAACAATAGATCTTTCAGAAAAATCAGATCCCAATCATGTGCAGCACAGGCAAGGAAATCAAGACCAAATTGAATTAAGTAGCTTGTGCCTGAAACCTAAGAGCACTCAAATGCATACTGACTAATCTCAAAGCCAAAGAGAAGCTGATGACATCATTAATGTGAGTCCTATTTAAGAATCTGTAAAATTTAAATAATCTGTTTAGCGAAACATATCATAGCAATAATTCTTTTCCTAGCTCCTTGGGTTTAAAGTTCAGTTCAAATATTTTAAATTGCCATCTTTTTTTTTTAACACATTTATTTATTTATTTATTTATTTACTTGAGAGGTAGAGTTACAGACAGAGAGAGAAAGAGACAGAGAAAAAGGTCTTCCATCCGCTGGTTCACTCCCCAAACAGCTGTAATAGCTGGAGCTGGGCCAGTCTGAAGCCAGGAGTCAGGAGCTTCTTCCGGGCCTCCAACATGGGTGCAGGGCCATCTTCTATTGCTTTCCCAGGCCACAGCAGAGAGTTGGATCGATTCTGTCTTGTTTTCTTACGCACACATTCAAGGCCATAATTGCCGAGGATCTCTCTAACTGTATTCTAAAGGTTCCGATATATAGTAAGACCACTGTAATTTAGTTTATACTTTCAGTAAGTTATATTTTATTTTTAATCTCATTTTAAAGGTTTTCTCAACTTCTAAGTAGTCTAAATTTGGCAATTTTGCTATGAATTTCTAATTTTATGACATTAAAATAAACCTTTTAAAAACAACAAAAAGAAATAAATGAGTAAAAAATTAATGTTAAAAAATTATATGTAAAAAAGTACTGCAAATGCTTTTTGTAAAATATATCCTAGGGGTATTACCTGGCTATAACATTTAATTAGTAGTAACACAGTTATAAAAATCTTACCTTTGAGAATCCAAGTTCCATGAGTAACCTGTCAGCTACAAACTCAATGTACTGCTTCATCAAAATACAGTTCATTCCAATGAGGCCAACCGGCAAGGCTTCTGTTAAAAACTCCTGAAAGGGAAACAAAAACAGAGTAAAGTATAGAGATAAAAAAATAATAAGTACGCATTTTCCAAAAAGAAAGATTTTGCTTTTATTTTCTAAGACACTGATCTTGTTCAAGGAAAGCACTATGGATAAACTGTTTCGATGTGGCACATGAGGTCCATTTGCTTAAAAATATATGGGATATTACTATGCATATTCTTTCACATTCTCAAAGAGCCAAAATAAATAGAAACTACCGAATTACTGGATTTTTAAAAGTAGTGCATGTAGGACCTGGATTCATTTTTTTTTTCATTAGAAAAAGATGTTTTATCTTGAAAAATTTACAAAGATTCACTAAAGTTCATCAGCATGGGGAACATCACTAAGGAAAGGAGTTGAGAAAGCTCAATTAACAAAGACAGGACCAAAATAAACAAACAAAAAGAGCAGATCTGGGGGTTGGGAGGTAAATGAAACTCCAACTACCCTGAAAGACAGTGATAAAGTGTTAATAGAGGAAAAATAAAACCATATTAATTATTTGGATTTAGTTTTTAAAACAATTAAAGATTCCAAAATGTATCTTATGCCATTCCCCCATCAATATGAAAAACAATGCAGTAATGTTAAACTATGCAGTGTTTAAAAAATATTCTATTTCCAAACTAGTACTTTAGAATGATTAAAAACACAACCTGAGTAGAGCACCTAGCCCTTTCTAGTCACTAATCCAGTTACTTATTTGTTCTTTTTTTTTTTTTAAAGGTTTATTTATTTGTTTGAAAGGCAGAGCTATAGAGAGGCAGAGGCAGAGAGAGAGAAAGAGACAGAGAATCTTCCATCTGCTGGTTCATTCCCCAATTGGCCAAAAAGCTGGAGCCATGCTGATCTGAAGCCAGGAGCCAGGAGCTTCTTCCAAGTCTCCCACGTGGGTGCAAGGGGCCCATCGTGGACTTGGGCCATCTTCTATAGTTTTCCTAGGCCATAGAAGAGAGCTGGATGGGAAGTGGAGCAGCTGGGTCTCAAATTGGCACCCATATGGGATGCTGGCACTGCAGGCAGCGGCTTTACCACTACACCACAGCGCCAGCCCCTACTTATTTGTTCTGTAAACATTTTGTGCATGCTTCAGCTAGGTACCTGTTAGGTTACTGAGAATACAAAATAAACAAGCAAAAATATCACTGCCCTCTATTAGCTAAAAACCTAAAAATGTAAAGATACAATAAAGTTTGTTATGGCATGAAATTTGACAGATAGATCAACGAGACAGAAAAACAGGCCTGGGACAGATTTTAGTGTACTTAAAACCTTAATATAATCATATAATAGACTGACTTATAAAAAATTATCTCAAAAATAAATAAATAAAATATAAAGTTTGGGAAAAAAGGCTGACTTACAAACCAAATTATAAACTGACTTACAGTAATTGCAATACATCACATATTCGTACCATCAAGGCTAACCATATAAAATTGCCAGTTTCCCCTTTAGTTTCCCCATGGAAAAGTAATGCTGCTTGCTCACTGCCCCGACCTGCAAGCAGCAGGCCCACGAGTTTCAGTACCCATTTGGACTTTCACAGAGGTGTCAGCATCGAAAGCTACCAGTTTGTGGTACTGTCATCCGGTATGTGCAAGGTACTGGCACCATCTTCATCAGGTGATGGCCTGGAGGCGAGGCCACCAGAAGGCGTTCCTATTTCAGTTCCCTGTGGTACTTTGCTCCTGGGTTTCAGCCACAAAGCACCAATGACAGTGAGGCTGAGTGTCCTCAGCTCTTGTGTGACCATCGAATGGCCTCACAGGACTTCCATGGCACTTACTCACATTGTACAAGGTGTGGGCAGCTTCCACATGACAGTCGTGGGATCCAGCTGCCTAAAAGGACCAAGGGGCTGAGGCCATGGCCCAGTGGGTAAAGCTGAAGCCTGTGGCGCCAGCATCCCATATGGATGCCAGTTCAAGTCCCAGCTGCTTCACTTCCGATCCAGCTTTCTGCCAATGCCTGGGAAAGCAGCAGAAGATGGTCCAAGTGCTTGGGCCTCTGCAACCACCTGGGAGACTAGAAGAAGCTCCTGGCTCCTGGCTTTGGACTGGCACAGCTCTGGCCAATGCAGCCAGTTGGGGAGTGAACCAGTGGATGCAAGACCTTTCTCTTTCTCCACCTCTCAAATAAATAAATAAATAAACGAATAAATAAATAAATAAATCAGGAGGAAGAGAAGGGGGGGAGGGAGGGAGAAAGGAAGGAAAAGGCCAAACTCCACCCAAAGAGGAGGAGGCAGCGATGGAGTCAGCCAGATGGGGAGGTGGAATGCAACCTGAGCAGTATGGAAATCACCGAGGAGCTGGCCACACTTCCACTGAGCAGCACAGAGAAGAGCGACGGCGTGGCAGCAGCTGGTCCCGGCACGCCCAGATGACTACAAGTGCACCAACCACCAGCTACGCAACAACACCCATGGGTTGGTAGGGCCCCCTACCGAGAGGCCTGGCCGCAATGCAGCTCCTGTACAGGGAGCACACTGCCAAGATCCGAGCCATGGAGGCTGTGGTACCACTGAGCTTCGACAAGCACTGTGCAGGAAGCTGCCTGAGTACTGGCCCCACGGTCCCTGCACGTTCTAAGCCCCGGCTCAGGGATCCCAGGGGATGCTTTCTGAACAGGGTCCCCAGTCTCACCCCCCTCCTTTCGAGTAGCCTCTCTTCAACTCAGCTTCTAGACATTCTCGGGGAAAGAGGCATTAGACTGAGTACAAGCAGGTTCACCAAAGTCCCCGCGAGCCATCAGCAGGGGACTGTAACCCCGAGAGAGTCAGCAGGAGTATACTGTGGCCAACTGGAGAATTGCTCTCTCGACATAGAGCAGTACTTCTACATAACAAGGACTTTTGACATTGTCCATAACAGTATTCATTCATTAAAGGGCTTGCCCAGAAAAAAATAAAATAAAATTGCTACAAAATGACAATTTCCTGATTAACCTAACACAATGGTACAAATATCAGGGGAAAAACAAACAAACAAAAACGTGCTACCTGCAGGGACTTTGCTTACCTGCTCAATTTCGACAGCATTAACAATGATCTCTCTGACCCTCTCTTCTGAAGGCTTATTTACTAAATACTGAAACATCAGGCAAGCAAAGTCACAGTGAAGTCCCTAAAACAGAAAACAAATGACACTGCCAATGAACTTTTAACCATCCATTTGCACACAATCATGTATAGAACATTATAAAAATTTGTTTCTAGGAATGTGTCATAGAATTTCTTAAAATGAAACAAGAATTAATAGGGTTAAGAACTTATTTCCTTCAAATATCATTAAATGCCAACCTAATGCCAACAAATCTTGGTTCATCAATATTAAAGAAGAATTAACTTACAAACAAAAACCTACAAACAAAAGCATTTTGAAAAGGAAAACAAAGAAAGAAGAGCCAAAATAAAAACTCATCAATTTTTTTAAAAGATTTATTTTTTTTATTTTTGAAACTCAGAGTTACAGAGAGAAAAAGAGAGACAAAGAGAGTGAGTTCTTCCATTCACTGGTTCACTCCTCAGACGGCCACAACAGCCAGCACTGGGCCAGGCTGAAGGAAGGAGCCAGGTGCTTCACCCAGGTCTCACGCATGGGTGGCAGAGGCCCAAACACTTGGGCTATCTTCTACTTTTCCCAGGCCATTAGTAGGGAGTTGGATCAGAAGTGGAGCAGCAGGGACATGAACCAGTACCCTGGTAGGATGCCCGTGACACAGGTGGCAGCTTTACTCATTATACCACAATGGGGGTCCCAAAAACTCATCAATTTTTAAATGCCAAAAAAATTAAAGAATGACTGACAAATATTAGGTAGTATTAAAAGGACAGAGATTTTTTTAAAAAGGTCAGAGATTTTAAAAAGATAGTATTTATATTAAATAAGAATAGCTCAAGATAAAAATGAATTCAGCACCATCTGAGTCCATATACAACAGACATGGCATTGCAGACAACTCAGCCACAAAGACCCCTGAGAAAAAAATAGTGATGCAAATTTAATAAATGCTACAGAATATTAAGTAACTAGAAAACAGGCCAGGCAGATTCAACCTACAGTAACCAGGACTCCAAAGCATAGAACAGATGATATAAAGCTGAAAATCAAAAGGACAGAAGAAAATTTTCAAAAATTCAAAACAAAAAAGATAATGAGGCCAGATATAAGATGATGGGATTCCCAAGAAAATTAACATAGACTCACGTCATGGTAGAGTTAATTAATATTTCTGAACTACAAAGAAAAACAAATCCTTTTATAGGTAACCAAAGGGAAGAGTGCGGAAAGTACAGTTTAAAGGATCACAAATCAGAATTACTTGGGTTTTTCTAAATGAATTAACAAAAACCAAAAGAGGATTCAAAGAGAAGATCCTCAAATTAAAGATTGTATTGAAAAGATTATTTACCTAAAATTCATTTTAAAAAACTCTCTTTGAACAGCTAATGCAAAAAAGTTTGCTAATGAACCATTTTTCCAAGATTTGTCTCCAGGGTACAATTCAAATTACCAACGGCAGAATGTCAAATAAACCGCTGAAAGATGTTAAAGAAAGTGTTGATTAGAATCAACAGAGAGAGGCCAGCAGTGTGGCGCAGCAGGTAAAGCCACCGCCTGCAGTGCCGGCACCCCATATGGGCACTGGTTCCAGTCCCGGCTGCTCCACTTCTGATCCAGCTCTCTGCTATGGTCTGGAAAGCAGTAGAAGATGGTCCAATGCCTTGGGCACGGGCACCTGCACCTGCGTGAGAGACCCGGCGGAAGCTCCTGGCTCCTGGCTTTGGATCAGCACAGCTCCGGCTGTTGCAGTCAAAGTGAACCAGCGGATGGAAGATCTCTCTCTCTCTCTCTGCCTCTCCTCTCTCTATGTAACTCTGACTTTCAAATAAATAAATCTTTAAAAGAAAAAAAAAAGAATCAACAGAGAGCTACCTAATCCACAGAAAAGGTAGGCATGAATCATTGTTAAATCAATAAATGAATAAAATTAATTTAAGTTTTAAAGAATTTTCAATCAAAACCTCAGTAAGATTGTTTTTGATTCAAAAATCAAACTGGAATAATAATTGAGCAGAACCTTGTAGGAACAATTTAAAAAGGAAAGTTTTGAAATTTATCCTAACAATTATTAAAACATAAAACTGCAGCAATTAAAATAGTTTGTTACAGCACAAAATCTGACAGGCCACGAGGCAGGAGAAATAGCATATAACAGATTTTAGAACAGTAAGACTTTTACATTTAATAAAGAGGACAGTGCAGGGACCAGTGTGGTGGTGCAATGGGTTAAGCCTCTGCCTGCAAAGCCAGTACACATATGGGCACCATTTGAGTCTTGGCTGCTCCATTTCCAATCCAGCTCCCTGATAATGCACCAGGAAAAGCAGCAAAAGATGGCCCAAGTTGTTGGGCCCCTGCACCAACATGGGAGACCTGGATGGAGTTTCTGGCTCCTGGCTTCAGCTTGGCCCAGTGCTGGCTGCTGAAGCCACTTGGGGAGTGAACCAGCATATGGAAGATCTGTGTGTGTATGCATGTGTGCATGCGTGTGTGTGTGTGTGTGTGTGTGTGTCCCTCTCTCTTAGAAATAAGTTGAGGAGTCAAGATCATTAGTACAATCAATGTGAACTGATTGGCTGTAATGGGCTAAACCAATGAGAACAGAAAGGTAAGATAGACCAAGTCTCTGCTCTGAGGAGCACAGGATCTAGCAAAGAGGAGAGCAAGCGAACTGCAATATATATCATGGGCTAAAGAGTTTTCATTTTCAATCAGAAACATAAAAGAAAGAGTGGGGCATTTTATCTACTTGTGTCTGAAGAGTTCTGAATTGCCTTTCGTGGGGAAAAATGAAGGGAAGACAGGGAGGGCACGCGGCAGCGAGCATGCTGTGCACTGCATGTGGTCTGTCTGCCACAGGTTCCTGCGCTGGAGGCTGGGTGCCCAGTGTGGTGATGTGCAGGCGGTGGAACCTTTGAGAGATGCGGCCTAGTGGAAGGTAATTAGGTCATGGAGGTCCCACACTCATGAATGGATTAGTGCTGTCTGGCAGAAGTGGGTCAGGTCTCCGTGACTGAAACAGTTAACTAAAGAGCATGCTGTGAAACTGTAAAGCCATCCTGCGTGCTTGGTTTCCTCTGCACATGGCGGTTCCCTTTCTGCTCCTCCACAAGCAAGGGAGGTCCTTGCTGCAGGCTGGCACCAGGCTGTGTGGACTCCCAGGCACCAAAATCATAAGCCAAATAAACCTCTTGTAATATATATTACCCAACCTTGAGTGTTCTGTTATAGCAACACAAAATGGATTAACACAGGAAACAATATTTAGTTATTGATGGATGTGGCTGAAAAAGAAAAGAAGTGGAGCCAGTGCACCAGGTAAAGCCACCGCCTGTTAGGCCAGCATCCCATATGAGTGCTGGTGCATATCCTGGCTGCTCCACTTCCAAATTAATAGCCTGAGAAAAGCAGCAGCAGATGGCCCAAGTGCTGGGGCCTCTGACATCCACATGGGAAACCTGGATGAAGTTCCTGGCTTCTGGCTTTGGCCTGGTCCAGCCCTAGCCATTGTGGCCATCTGGGGAGTGAACCAGCAGATGAAGATCTGTCTGTCCCTTTCTCTGTAACTCTTTCAAATACATAAATAAATATTTCTTTTTTAAAAAAAAAAGGACCAATCTATTTTTCTCCCTCTCTTTTTTTAGAAACATTCTATTTAGTAAGTATAAATTTTATGAGTACATCTTTAAGAATACAGTGATTCTTCCCACCATACCTGCCCTCCTAGCCCTACTTCCTCCTCCCTTTCCCATTTACAGTCTCATTCTCCATTCATTTTCGATTAACTTTATACACAGAAGACCAACTCTATACTAAGTAAAGATTTCAACTATTTGCATGCACACACACATACACACAAATATAAAAACTGCTTGAGAAGAAGTTTTACAGTTAAATCTCATAGTATGATTCATTGAGGACAGAGGTCCTGCATGGGGAGTAAGTGCGCAGTGACTCCTGCTGTTAATTTAACAATTAACAATCTTATGTATGATGTCAGTGACCACCCAAGGCTCTTGCCATGAGCTGCCTAGGCTATGGAAACCTTTTGAGTCCACAAACTTCGTCAGTATTTAGGCAGGGCCATACGCAAAGTGGAAGTTCTCTCCTCCCTTCAGAGAAAAGTACCTCCTTCTTTGATGGCCACTTCTTTCCACTGGGGTCTCATTCACGGAGATCCTTCCTGGAGGACATTTTTTTTGGCCACAGTATCTTGGCTTTCCATTAAAGAACCAATCTAAAACGACTCCCAGATTTCAAACTGGATGACTGGATAAATGAATAATCCCAAGAGACAGGGAAAACAGAAGGAAAAACATGTCTTGGGTTTTACATGGTAAGTTTGATTTCTGAAATACTAGGTTTCTTAGGCCTTCCAGGAGAAAAAGTCTAACATGCACTTGGATATACCAATATGGATTTGGAGTTTGGGAAAAAATACTTGGGATAAAGACAAATTTGGGTGTGCCAGCACTGTGACATAACAGGTGAAGCCTCTGCCTGCAGTGCTGGCATCCTATATGGGCACCAGTTCATGTCATAGCTGCTCCACTTCCAGCTCCCTGCTAATGGCCTGGGAAAAGCAGTGGAAGATGGTCCAAGTGCTTGGGCCCCTGCACCCACACGGGCGACCCGGAGGAAGCTCTTGGCTCCTGACTTTGGCCTGGCCCAGCCCCAGCCATTGCAGCCATTTGGGGAGTGGTCCAATGGACAATGGATGAAAGACCTCTCTCTCTCTTTCTCTCTCCCTCTCCCTCTCCCTCTTCTTCTCTGTGACTCTGACTTTCAAGTAGATAAATAAATCTTTTCTTTTTTTAAAGAAAGTCAAATTTGGGAAAGCTGTAAGCATTTAGATAACAGTTTATTCCATGGGATAAATAAGATCAGCCAGAAGGTTACACACAGAAAAGGAGTGAAGCCAAGGCAGGAATTCAGGAGGACACAGAGAGATAAGGGTGAGCAGAGGAGACTGAGGAAGAATGGTTAGAGACACAGGAGGAAAATGCAGTGTCTTCAATTTTCTTTTAATTACCAGGATACTTGTATCACCATAAGCATTTTCCAGGGGAAAGATAAATAAATGAACACCAAATATGAATTCAAACATAACAATAACAGAAAAAAAACACTTCACCCTTACTTCATCTCTGCTGATGAGCTCATTGGAAAAAGTGAGTCCAGGCATCAGACCTCTCTTCTTTAGCCAGAATATAGCAGCAAAAGATCCCGAGAAGAAAATCCCTTCTACAGCAGCAAAGGCCACCACCCTTTCCCCTGGGAGACATGAAATAGTTGCACTTTCTGAAATATCATATACGACAGACATTTGCAGGTTTATAGAGCTACAGCTTTATTTGCACAATACCACAGCTATTTTGCTAAGAGACAAAATTAGTAAGTTAGTTCCATGGCCAAGAGTCTTCAGAGGAGGCACTGTTCCACCTCTCCCTAACACAGCGGGAAGTGGGGTCCTGTAGACTCGGTGTCCGGATAACAAATGGCCCTGCATACTCTGAAAGAAGAGGCTAGCCTGCGTACCACACATGCCTGTGGGTGCAAGGACATACATGTGTGTGCACATACATATTGTGTCTAAGAGTGGAAAGTAAAAGGCAGACTTTACCACAAATGTCTGCTTCTGGGAGGAGGGAAGGTTGCTGAGCCTTATTTTTAGAGACCTATGCTACCCTACAGACTAGTTGAAAATATTGCCGGGCCGGCGCCGTGGTTCAATAGGCTAATCTTCCGCCTTGCGGCGCCGGCACACCGGGTTCTAGTCCCGGTCGGGGCACCGGATTCTGTCCCGGTTGCCCCTCTTCCAGACCAGCTCTCTGCTGTGGCCAGGGAGTGCAGTGGAGGATGGCCCAAGTGCTTGGGCCCTGCACCCGCATGGGAGACCAAGAGAAGCACCTGGCTCCTGCCTTCGGATCAGCGCAATGCGCCGGCTGCAGCAGCCATTGGAGGGTGAACCAACAGCAAAAAGGAAGACCTTTCTCTCTGTCTCTCTCTCACTGTCTACTCTGCCTGTCAAAAAAAAAAAATATTGCCGTGCATCTATAATTGAAAAAATAGATAAACCCAAGCAAAGACATCTACTGGATAAAATGTCTCATCATATAAGCAAAAAATGATTGTCTCCTGCTAAACACAGAACGGCCGACTTGAAAGGTTACTCACTGTTAGGAGAACTCTGTAGAAGCCCATCCCCTAAAATGTCTACACTGGCATCATATCTGAACCGCTATCTTTATTAGATGATTATAGTTTAACCCAAAAGTATTTGCATGGCCCTGATGTCACCACACCACACATGCCCAAGAGAAGTATTTTTCTTCTATACATGTAAAAGGAGAGAGTTGGTCTGTCTAAGACTGTGAGATAAAGACAGCTTAGTGTGTGTAAGAGCTACAAACCTTTCACAGATGACATGGTAGTTTATATCTCAGTAACTGCAGGTACTTAACAAATGTGCCCTGAAGGGCACAATGGAAACTATACAGTAAGAACTAAATGATAAAAGACATTAAAATCCATTTCTATGGAAACTATAAAATTTTGACACAGAAACTGAATATAGTTTCTAGAACAAGTATAATTAATTATATTTAAATTTAAAAAGGAAGATGACTAAGTTTAAGTATTTCTGGTTATCTCTGAGTAATGCTTTGGTTTGTCTTTCTTTTCCCTGATTATTTTAAACCCTATCAGATACATAGATTATATCAAATACTTAGTCATTCAAATTGTCTATTAATAGCTGAAAATATAATAACTATAAAAAAGTTTTATCAACTTAACGTATACCTTACTATGTTTTCATTTTACTAATAAAACAGTGGATAGTTATAACTGATACATTTCTTGACATTAAGGTTATGTTCTAGATAATTATCTGTAAGGTAACTAGACTATAATTAAAATAGAAACATTGTGAGAAGGGGAAAATGCTATGTTAATTGTTCTATGCATTCATGTGAATATTAAACAACAAAAATTTTGACAAATAGTTATGGAAGGCTATTCTTTGTTGGAGAGGGTTAAAGAATTACTAAGGGGTAATTTTACACATTTTTTGAGAATAATCCTATATGTGAACTAAAAACAGACTTACAGTTAACTCATCTAAAAACCATAATAAACATAACGGTCTCATGACTTGTTTTAGAAAAGGGAAAGACGCACTTTTAAGATACAGCTGCTCTTTATAATGCAAGGCACTAACATTGCATAACAAGTTTTTTTTTTTTTTTGCGTTTTCAAATGCAGTTTCATTACATATGGAAAGGTTCAATCTATACAATTGTTTTAAAGTTCTTTAAGGATATTTTAAAATGAAACGGAATGTCTGAATTTTTTAAAACTATGCAAGTATATAATTAAAAATTTTAGCACTACAGAGATTGAATCTTCCTGTCACATATAAACTTTAAAACAACTAATACTTTTTTCAATGCATATTGTTGGCCTCTCTTTAGCTAAAAACTAAAGAATTATAGGAACCTGAATGCAAGGCAACAGCAGTTGTTTTACTGGGTCCTACTTGGTGTAGGAGGCACGGAGAAGTCACCAAAACCGAGAGGCAGAGCCCTAAGCCAGATGCAAGAGCTGCCTTCGTCAGTCCCAGGACAAAGATCTGGCCCCGGAAGGCTGCAGGTGGCCGGGGAGGTTCATGAGTCCGCTCCTCCTGCTGCTTAAAGGAAGTATAACCGGCAAAGCGAGGGGGTATTTCCACGCTACTGGCTTTCGGCGCCACCCCCAATGCGCTCCTCACTCCTTTCCCCTTCCCTTCTTACTCTGCTCCCCACGTATCCCACTCCCCTAGGTCACTACTCAGAGCGAGTTCTCTCCTCTGAGACCCTGAGTCGGAACCCTGAGCGGAGGTGCCTGGGGATGAAGCAGCAAGGCTAACTGAAGCCCGGTGGCTGCATGCTGCCTGCGCTCTACCTGTCCTCCTTCTTTTCACCTTGACTTTCTCCGGTGCTGTCACGGAACACCTGCCTCCCGTGCCCCATCGTGGTTTCCCACCAGTGCCTAGCCATGCGAACATTTTCAACACTGGCCTATTTCCCTTCTTTTTTTGTCTCGAGCCCATTTTCCCCAAAGTGTGCTTCCCAAATCATTTATCTGCAAGAGAACCAGTTTAGTGTAAACTGCAGATTCTTCAGCCCCACCTGGATTCTCCAGGGTTTTTCCACAAATTCTCTGGATGATTTTTTTTTAATTTATTTATTTTTATTTGAAAGTCAGAGTTACACAGGGAAAAGAGAGGCAGAGAGAGAGAGAGAGAGAGAGGTCTTCCATCCGATGGTTCACTCCCTAATTGGCTGCAATGGCCGGAGCTGCACTGATCCAAAGCCAGGAGCTTCTTCTGTGGGTCTCCCATGTGGGTGCAGGGGCCCAAGGACTTGGGCCATCCTCAACTGCTTTCCCAGGCCATAGCAGAGAGCTGGATTGGAAGAGGAGCAGCCGGGACTAGAACCGGCGCCCATATGCGATGCCAACGCTTCAGGCCAGGGGGTTAACTTGCTGGGTCACAGTGCCAGCCCCTCTGAATTATTTTTATGCACATTGAAAACCACTGTGTTTCTCACTCTTGAACTGAAAGCAATGCAAACATATTTCTCCCCTGGTGTACTACACACTGGCCCATACTTGCAGTGTCACTGGCTCTCTGGTGTGCTCCAGGAGTCCCTGAGTGCCACAGAACAAGAAGATCTGTGAAGTCAAAAATATTTTCATGGGGCTGGCATCGTGGCACAATAAGTTAAGTTGCCATGTGCAATGCCAGCATCCCATACTGAATCTTGGTTAGAGTCTTGGCTGCCCTGCTTCTCAGTTAGCCTCCAGTTAATGCCCCTGGGAAGGCAGTGGATGAGGCTCAAGTACTTGGACCCCTTACACTCATGTAGGAGACCCACATGGAATTCCTTACTCCTGGCTGTTGCAGCCATTTGGAGAGTGAAGCTGTAGATGGAAAATCTCTTGCTCTCGCTCTTGCTCTCACTCTGCCTTTCAAATAAATAAATCTTCAAAAAAATTGTTCATAATAACACTGGAATAGTATTTATTTTACTACCAATCTTTCATGAGTGCTTGGTGTTATTTTCCACAGGCTACATGACAAATCCACAATAATCTGAAAAGCTTACTAAAAGACTCCTCTCTTTTCTAACTACATATTTGAATGAAATTGAATTTTCTTCATGTACTTTAACCAAAATAACATAACTGCAGCAAACTGAATGCAAAAGCAGATAGGATAATCCAGCTTTCTCTAATAAGTCAGACAGCAAAAAGCTTTGTGAAAATATAAAAGCATGCTATGCTCACTTTTTGGAAAATGTAGGGTTTTCAAAAATAAAAATGTACAATTTATGTTAAAATGTAATGGGCTAATTATTGTTATTTTAAAGTAAACCAATAACTATTTTAATCTCAGTTTTAATTTCTAATATGGAAATATCAATAGACATAATTTATAAAAATAAAAGTACTTTGGAGTTCTCAGTGACTTTTAACAGTGCAAAGAGACTAGAGAATAAAAATTTTGAGATGTGCTTCCCTACATAATGAATAAAACCAGGAAGTAGAGTAAAATTTATGAAACAGATAAGAATAATATACATACTTATTCAAAGAAATATATCAATATTTTCATTAAGTTTAAATATTTATTGAGCAACTACTTTGTAATAGATACAGTCTTAATCACTTCCTTTAAAAACTGTTACGGGTGGAAGGCATTTGGCTTGACTGGTAAGACACCAGCTAGGAATACCTGCATCCCGAATGGAGTACCTGGGTTCAAGTCCAGGCTCCGATTCCAGCTTCCTGCTAATGTGTGCCCTGGGAGGCAGCAGTAGATGACTCAAGTAGTAGAGTCTCTGCCACCCACATGGGGGACCTGGATTGAGTTCCTAGCTCCTGGCTTCAGCCCAGCCCACCCTTGCCCCTTGTGGGCTTTGAGAGCAAGTCAACGGATGAAAGCTCTGTCACTCACTCTCCTTCTCTGTTCTCTCTTTATCTCTATAATAAATAAATAAAATATATATTTTAATAATAAGTAAAAATAAATGTTCTGGGATCTCAACACATCTGTAAAGGTGCTTCAATTCAATTTTTGTGTGTGTGTAAAATATAAGCCCGTTACCGCAAAATGTCTCTTGTTCTGGTTGAGTGCACTAATCTTTAGTTTTTTAGAATCTAGATATTTGTCCACCAAAAATATTACGATTGACTTGTTTAAAATTTCTAAAGAACAAAAACAAAACAAAATAAAAACCAATGGAAAAAAAGAAAAAAAAATTCTAAAATAAATATTCTTAAAATCAGGTACAAACTGAATTGCTACAATACCCCTGATAGATTCTATGTGACTGATACTTACTTGTCATAATGCATTGATATCTTAACTTTTCAACTTCTGACTTACTAAAAAGAATAGATAAGTGCTTTATTTTACCATCACTTTCTAATTAACTACTATGAATAATGATTCTAAGTAAAAGTACATATTGAGACATTTGTCTTCTTTTTCCCATTTTAGGACTTGGATTAGTGCTGACAGTCATACCATATAAAATAGTATCATATCTCCTGTGGTAAATTTGATGATATATAAATTAGAGAAACATACCAAAAGTAGATTTTCTATCTGCTATCCATCGCAGGGCCCAATCTGCTTTTTTCTTAACATATGGCATTGTTTCAATTGCATTAAATAAAAATTCCCTGTAAAAACAAGAGAATTAAGACAGACAAAGTCACTCACTTGTTTTTCTTTTTGTTTTGCTTTTCCTAGTCAACCATTTTAACAATTCAGAGACAATAATTGTAACTCTTTCACATACTATCAGATTTGTAGTTTATTTTTTCATGTCCATAAAATATAGAAATGAAAATTAAATTCAAAATCAGTGACTCAGAAATTATTTAACACAAAACCAACAATGTGAACATTCTGTTTCCAAACAGAATGTGCTAATAAATAACTTTCAAAGATACAATACTAAAGATGCACTAGTTCTATGTAAGTTTTTAACCCAACACATTATTAGGCAATAGAAAATATTATATTCATAAGTGTCCATATTTAAATAAACTTTTCTTAATATTTATTTTTGAAATAGATTTTGCTTTTAACATAATAAAACAACAGGATAAACCTTTGTAAGTAAGATTCCAGCAATAATACCTTTTCTTGGGATCTCTGATGTAAGTGTCTATTAGCAAACTGTACATCTCTGAGTGGACATTCTCAATGAGGATTTGGAAGCCATAGAAACAGCGAGCCTCTGGAACCTGCACCTCCTGACTAAAGCGCTCCACCTGAGAAAACAAGGGAAACAGATACATCTAGTCCTGTGGACTCCCACTGAACCTGCGTTAAACTCTACCAGCTAGAATCTGGACATCAGAACGGCAGCAAACAGGTCAGAAAGACTATGGATTCTCTTAAGCAGTATCTTAAGCAATACTGTTTTTCTATCAACTTTTCACCATATATTAGTGGGAAAATGTATTTTTAAGCAATTAAATGAATTGGTCTCTTGGGTGAAAATACCACCTACAAAACCAAATAAATTTTAGAACATCTACCCAAAATAGTGATCTTCCTTTGTAGAATTCATGTTGTCACTTTTTCTCAATAGTAGATAGACCTATTAAAGACTTTTCTGGCAGTCCACACAGCAGACTCATATAATGACAATTGCCCTAAACAGCACTAGAATCAGCCCTTTAGGCATTTGGATCTGGTTGAAAAGCCCATGAGAGCATTTCAGGCATGGAAAGCCAAGACACTGTGACAAAAAATGCTCTGTGAGTGAGACCCCAGTGAAAAGAAGGGACCATCAAAGAAGGGTGTACTTTTCTCTGGAGGGAGGAGAGAACTTCCACTTTGTTTATGGCACTGCCTAAATACTGACGGAGTTTGTGGACACAAAAGTCTTCCATAGCCTCAGCAACTCATGTCAAGAGCCTCAGGTGATCACTGATGTCATAAATAAGTTAATTGATAAACCAACAACAGAAATCACTGTGCACTTAATCCCCATGTAGGGCCTTTGTCATTAATGAGTTGTACTATAAGAATTAACTATAAAACTTGGTCTCAAACAGTACTTTATGTTTTGTGTGTGTGTGAATGCAAATTGTTGAAATCTTTACTTAGTATAGAGTTGGTCTTCTGTATATAAAGTTAATTAAAAACAATTTTAATGAAGAATGGGATGGGAGAGGGAGTAGGAGGTGGGAAAGGAGTAGGGGTGGGAGGGCAGGTGTGGGGGGAGAAGAACCACTATATCCTTAAAGCTGTACCTATAAAATTCATTAAATAAAAGATTTCTTAATAAATAAATAAATAAAGCCTCTTCTAGTTCAAGATAAAAGTTCTTATCTTATATCTCCTGACCAACAACATACAAGTTTTTGAATGGAGAGCTACAATCTAGTGTTCTACTGCAGAGATCCAGAAGGTTATGTAGGCATGGATGCTCTATTAGTATCATTATCTGAGGGTAAACAATCAAACACATGTTCATGCATTTTAAGTAGTCTCGATTAGTACAGTTTATGCTTCATTTTATGATATTCGGCTGGTCAAGTGACAGAAATATGCTTATACATTCCTTTCCTCTGACACTTAATCCTTGAAAATATTTGGCCTATTCTAAGATATCTTTTCTCAGGGTCAATCTAATTATTCTACGGATATAATTAATGAATGGACTGAAAAATAAAATTAAAAAAAAAAACTTACCAAATTTTCATTTACAATTCCATCACTGGCTGCAAAAAAGGCTAAGACATGAGAGATAAAATATTTCTCATCTGATGTAAGTCTGTTCCAGTGAGGGAGATCCTTTGATAAGTCAACCTGGAATAAGAAATTTTCAAAATTTTTAACTTGCAGTTAAAGTACTTAAAAAATTCACTTTCACTCCAAAATTAAGGAGGGAGAACCCATTACCAGCAAACTGTGAGCAAAAATGTTAACATTGCAAAAGAGGGGCCTGCACTGTGGCATAGTAGTCTAAGCATCTGCCTGTAGCACTGGCATCCCATATGGGCACTGGTTAGAGTCCCAGCTGCTCCACTTCTGATCCAGATCCCTGCTGATGGCCTGAGGAAGCAGAAGATGGCCCAAGGAAGCAGTAGAAGATGGCCCAAGTGCTTGGGTTCCTGCACCCACGTGGGAGACCCAGTAGAACCTTCTGGCTCCTTGCTTTGGATTAGCCTAGCTCCAGTTGTTGTGGTCATTTGGAGAATGAACCAGTGGATGGAAGACCTCTCTCGCTGTCTCTCCCTCTCTCCATCTGTAACTCTGCCTCTCAAGTAAATAAATAAATCTTAAACACACACACACACACATTACAAAAGAACAAAACAAAATAAAAACATTATGCTAATAACAATATATTATAATCAGGATTTTTGCTAAATGAGATTATAGTTAATTTTGCCCAAACTGTGAGATGACGGATATGTTAATTTCTTAGACTTTCTTAACCATTTTACTACACACATCCACACAGGGAGTCTTCAAAAAGTTCATGAAAAAATACATATTATGAAAAAACTAAGCATGGATTTCAAATTTTTATATCAAAATAAACTTCATTTTCCATGAACTCTCTGAAGGTCTCATTGATATGTATCTTATAACATCATGTTGCAACCCTTAAATATAAATAATAAGATTCAGTTTCTGAAAAAACATTATGAAGGAATCTGAATTTCTGGATAATGGACAAGTTGGCCAGGATGTACTTTAGAGATATTAAAATTAAAGATTAAAATTAAAATTAAAAACTTAGAGATATTAAAATTGTCCTAGTGGAAAAATGAAGGAAAGAACAAGGGCACTTGCATTTCATTCATGGGGGAATCTGTCCTCATGACTTAATCATTTCCCAATGTCCCTCCTTGAAACATTATTATAGTAAGGATTAGGGCTCAATGTATGAATATTAGGGAGATACATATATTTAGTCCACAATACTTGTAGATACCACTTTGTATTAGAAAAATTTCTTTACTTTTTCATAGTAACTTCATAAACATTTAAAATATATAATTGTCCTTTGTAATAAATAACTGTGTCCCATTAAGTTCTGCTCTATCAAGAGCTTAACTCAGACCAGCGCTGTGGAGCAGTAGGTTAATCTGCCACCTGCGGCGCCAGCATCCCATATGAGTGCCGGTTCTAGTCCCTGCTGCTCTTTTTCCAATCTGGCTCTCTGCTATGGCCTGGGAAAGCAGCAGAAGATGGCCCGAACGCTTGGGACTCTATTCCCACATGGGAGACCAGGAAGAGGCTCCTGGCTTCAGATCGGCCCAGCTTTGGCCGTTGCAGCCATCTGGGGAGTGAACCAGTGGATGGAAGACCTCTTTCTGTCTCTCCCTCTCACTGTAACTCTAGCAAATAAATAAATAAACTCTTAAAAACAAAAAAAGAGCTTAATTGACATATTCCTGTTTCTTATGCATTATACTCCAATATTAAAATTTAATATTATAAAGTTCTTACTCTTTAATATTATGTTTATCTCTTTGAATGCTCAGTTTCAAGTTTTATACTATATTGGTTGTATTCCCTTCTGGAAATGTAAACCTTCACGCTCAATCTTATTGCATCAGAGAAAACACTCAATTCTGCCATCTGAATATTGGTGCCAAACTAGTTTATTATCAGAATCACCTGAGTAAATTTTAAAAAAATTAAGAGAAGAAGAAGAAAAAGAAGAAGAAGAAAATACCAAGCCCCAGACCTTTTGTCTTCTGAATCAGGGTTTCTACTGGTCAGCCATATTTAGGAATTAAACTCAACCACTAATAAAATAATGGACTCTAAAGCTGATGAGATGGGAACTTACACAATTGCTTTAATGAAAAATATGTAGAACTAATAATTTATTTGACTTTCCTTGAAACTACATATTTGAATCTTATTATGAAATTTGTATCAACCTATTTTAGTTTTAAAATGAGTGATTCTTAGTAATAGAACATATACTACATTTCCAAATGAATTTCAAGAAATCCAAGTACTACAAGTCCCTCTTTAATATGATGAATGAAAAAGCCACCTGTGTACTCCACTTGTTTTTTGAACCTTGGCTAACCAAAAACTTTCTAAAAACCACAGACGGTTAGAGGCAGTCAGGTGTGCCAAGCATTATGACCCAGTTTTGAAAACATGAGGTATTGGTTTGGGTTTGGCTTTTCGCTCTATCTGGCAACTCATTTATAACAAAGATGTTGACAATCTAACAATACAATGTATGAAAGATGGGTCTGTGGTGAAATTAGTGTAAAAGAAAGTTCCAACTGAGTGCTTACTGATTTCTAAGTCAAATCTTCCCCATTCTATGGATAAAATAATATTTGCATTTATTTAGTACTTACTAAGTACCAAGTACCATTCTAAATAATTCATTAAAACACAATGAGCTAGGTACTATTTAGTACAGACTAATTTACTGAAGAGATACACGAGGTTAAGCAACATTTCCAATTCCATAGCTAGAGTAAGTGGCACAGCAGGCTTTCACCTAGGCTCCAGATGCTATATTGTTAACAGCTTGTGTTCAAAGTGTAAAATCAATTCAAAGTACAGAATCTCTCGAAAAACAAGCAAATAGATCCACCCACATAGATATATCTACAGACATGCACACACACACACACCCCACACAATCTATAGATCAAGAATGCAATGCAGGCATCATCCATCATATTTAAATATGAAGACAGGGGCTGGTGCTGTGGCTTAGTAGGTTAAGCATCTGCCTGTGGCACTGGCATCCCATATGGGTGCTGGTTCGAGTCCAGGTTGCACTACTTTCCAATCCAACTCACTGTTGATGGCCTGGGAAAGCAGTAGAAGATGGTCCAAGTTCTTGGGTCCCTGCATCCAAGTGGTAGACCTGGAAGAAGCTCCATGGCTCCTGGCTTTGGATTGTCCCAACTCCAGTCACTGCAGCCATTTGGGGAATGAACCAGTGGATAGAAGACTTTTCTGTCTCTCCCTCTCTCTGTCTGTAACTCTACCTCTCAAGTAAATAACTAAACCTTTTAAAAATATTTTAAAAGTCTGTTTTATAAAAAAAAAAGATGAAATAACTATTCGTGTGTTCCGTTAGATTACAGAGCAATCAATCACTTGCATGATCAACTGTCCTCACTAAACAAGCAAACATATTCTAATTTCTTTTGCTCAACTCATTTCCTAGGTAGAATCTGTCACATTGACAGAAAGCATTCTACAGCTGTCCTGTTAGGGGCAGCTGTGTCGGCTATGATGTGGCGATGGCAGGGTCAGATTGAGAGGAGCACTGTGGTTTCCGCCTGGCAGACTCAGGGGGTGACTACGTGCCTGGAAGGGCAAACTCCATGTGCCAGATCCTTCTGTACAACCAGATGAGTGTCTCAGTTCAAAGCAGGGCCCTCCAGGCTTTTACTCTTTTTTTTTTTTAACTACAACTGCAATTTTATTCTGCTTATTATAAGTAAAGGCTAGTCTTATTTGGTTACAGCAAAGCAAAGGTGTGTTTAAAAACAGAATATGTTCTACAATATTATAAGAAGTAAACATCTGGCAGAATGAGATGCCATTTTTTGCAGAAAGAAGCATGCTCATAGAAAGCAGTCTAAACCCAAAAGCCGGAGAAGGCTGTTTCAGGAGCTGACATGAATGCCAACGTGGGTCACGCCACGTACCTCTTCTGCAGTCCAGAAGGATGCCTGTGCTTGCTTGTACATTTTCCATATGTCGGGGTACTGGATCGGAAAGATGACGAAGCGGCGGGAACTCTTCTTCAGCAGCGGCTCTTCATCTTCGTTGGTATCTGGAGATAACTTCTTTAAAAAGCAAAGTACAAAGACCATGTTACGTGGACTCTTCCTCTTCATGTATACCTACACGTACATCTGGGGAAGTCAGGGAAACAGCACAGGTTTCAGAGCCAACCTGTCTGAGGTTGACCCTTATGAATATCTGAGAACTGCCCCATAATAGTGTTTGGATAGTTGGTGACCATAGGGTGTGCCTTCACTTCTCTGAACCTCAGCGGTAAAATAATACCTGCCTCATAGGTTTCTTCTGAGGATTAGAAGTCCTTTAAGCCTGGTGTATAATAAGCACTCAAAAAATGCTGCAGGGGAAGGCGTTTGGCTTACTGATTAAGATACTGTTACCACATAACAAAGTACCTGGATTCAAAGTGCCCGGCTTCGGCTCCTGACTCCAGCTACCTACTGACCTACTGATGCAGGGATGGCTCAACTGACCAGGTCCCTGCCACCCACATGGAAGACCTGGGTTGAGTTCCTGGCTCTTGGCCTTGGCCAGGCTCAGTCCAGGCCATTATTGGCCTTTACGAAGTGAACAAGTAGAAGGGAACTAATTTTCTTTCTCTCTTTTACTCTCTCCCTCCCTCCCTCTGCTTGTCAAAGAAATACATGAAAAATTTTTAAAACACATCATAATAATAATTTTGAGAATAAGTACAAAAATAGACCAGTTAAGTATCATTGTGGGTAAATTTCTAAGTTTACGGACAAAATGACCCCTCAGTGCTTCTCTGACATAGAATGCAAGCATGAGTGGGCTACTGCCACAAGCTACTTTATTTCAACATTTTTCTAAGTTTAATTGAACACTATATTACTTATCTGAAACTCCGAACCAACAACCAACCCTTGCTCATCACATCCTTTCCATATAGTTACTCCTATTTCTGGTGGTTTTTTTTTTTTTAAGATTTATTTATTTATTTGAAATGTAGAGTTACAGAGAAGCAGAGGCAGAGGCAGAGAGAGACATGGGTTTTCCATCTGCGGTTCACTCCCCAAATGGTCGCAACAGCTAGTTGGCATTTTAAAGGCTGTTCCTTTATTCAAAGAATCATAATGAGTATTTGATCAATCGATATCTTCTTCACTCACAAAATTATTAGAGAACTGCAGGGAAATACTCAGTGTAACTGAGATGAACTGGAACTGAAGCTCTATCTAAACAGCAGAGGTCTATGGTTAACAGAGTATTTCAAACTTGTCTCGGCCCGCATTGCTCTTCCATGGATGCCTCTAAACGCTTTTATTATCATGTGCAGCATTTGAAGCCCAATCTTCACTTTCTTCTTTTCATCATATTTCGTCACTGAGAATTAGGTATCAGTCATACTGAAAGTTTGGAAAGACATCACAGCACTAAGTACTCTGATCCTGAAGTGAATGGGGCTTTTTTAAAATTAATTAACTTAGTTTATTTGAAAGGCAGAGAGATATCTCAACTGCCAGTTAACTCACCAAACAACAGCCATGGCTGGCCTAGGCCAGAACCAGGAGCCAGGAACTACATCCTGCTTTCCCACATGGGTAGCAGGGGCCCAGGCACTGAGCCATCTTCTGCGGTATTTCCAGGTGCATTAGCAGACAGCTGGATAAGAAGCTGAGCAGCCAGGACTGGAACGGCCTTGCAAACGATGACCTAACCTGCTGTACCAGTGTCAGGCCCCTTGATAAAGATTTGTTTATTTATTTGAAAGGCAGAGTTACAGAGAGAAGGGGAGAGGCAGAGAGAAGAGAGATCCTTCATCTGCTGGTTCACTCCCCAGATGGCAACAACAGGCCATGCTGGGCCAGGCCAAAGCCAGGAGCCAGGAGCTTCATCTGGATAGGAAATGGAATAGCCAGGGCATGAACTGGCACCTGTATGGGATGTTGGCATCATAGGCGGTGGCTTTACCCACTACACCACAGCACAGGTCCTGAACAGAGTTTTTAAATGCTGATAAATAATTGATCAGTGTTAAGATCTATGAAATTGCTGGATTAGTATATAAATTATAATGAAAGTCACATTTGCATATACATTCTTCTTGTTCTATCTTGATAACATGCAGACTAACAGGAAAAGCTGGATTAGAAGAGTATTCTGAAAGTTATTGCTTATTTCACAACACTTAGAAAAATGCACAAAAACACATTTTAGCACAATTTCAGGAAGTTCATGCATTCTTCAGCTCTAGGGCTTCCAGGGTACCCTCTGCAGATCTGAGCTAAGAACAAATATTTTCAAAGAAAGAAAATGTGGAAAAAAAGACTTAATGCCATGTGACTTTTTGTGTTTTTTTTTTTTTCCTTTCTTTTTTTTTTTTTTCTTTTGAGCAGACTGGAGGCTTTTATTTCTTTGGCCCACAAGATGGCGAGTGGCCCTCCATGGGATATTTTTAAGAACTGGAATTTTCAGGCCGGCACTGCGGCTCAATAGGCTAATCCTCCGCCTTGTGGTGCCAGCACACCGGGTTCTAGTCCCGGTCGGGGCACCGGATTCTGTCCCGGTTGCCCCTCTTCCAGGCCAGCTCTCTGCTGTGGCCTGGGAGTGCAGTGGAGGATGGCCCAAGTCCTTGGGCCCTGCACCCCATGGGAGACCAGGAGAAGCACCTGGCTCCTACCTTCGGATCAGCGCAGTGCGCTGGCCACGGCGGCCATTGGAGGGTGAACCAATGGCAAAGGAAGACCTTTCTCTCTGTCTCTCTCTCACTGTCCACTCTGCCTGTCAAAAAAAAAAAAAAAAAAAAAAAGAACTGGAATTTTCTAAATCTGGACTTTATTATAAGTGGGGGACAACAGAAGCAGACAAAACCTGAAAGGTGGCAGACAGCATGTTCCAGTGACTTTTTTTAAAAATGTACTCTGCAGAACCCTTTGGTCCCTCTAATGTCACAAACACCCAATGAAAATTCACTTCTAAATATGTTTTTAGAGGCTGGTGCTGTGGCGTAGTAGCTAAAGCCGGTGCCTGCAGTGTCAGCAACCCATATGGGCGCTTGTAACCAATCATATCAATTCTTATTTACTTATTGATTTTCACCTATTTGAAAGGCAGAGCCACAGAGAGATAGGGAGAACAATCTTCCATTTGCAGATTCACTCCCCAAATGACTGCAACAGCCAGGGCTGGGCCAAGCCAAAGTCAGGAGTCAGAAACCCAACCTAGGTCTCCAATGTGAATGGCAGGAACTCAAGCAGTCATCATCATTGCTATCTCCAAGGGTCTGCACTGGCATGAAACTGGAGTCTGGAGAGGCAGGTATAACACTCAGGTACTTGGATATAGGATGCAGGAAGCAGCTGGCATCTTAACCACTAGGCCAAGTGCCTGCCCCTACAATTTCTTTAACAACTCACCTTCATTGAGTTTTCTACAGCTTTCTTTTCATAGAAACATCTTTTTTTGCATACTTATTAGTTTACATGATATTTAATTAAATTACAATAGTTACAAGCATAGTTGGTAAAATGTATAACTGGTATAAATAGGATAGGAAATAAAGACAACTGTTTCTGCTAAAGTATAACTCGAATGGGGTGGGAACAGAAGTATGTGAGTACCCTAGAAAAGCCTTTATTTAAGATTTATTTATTTATTTGAAAGGCAGAGTTAGAGACAGAGAGAGAGCGGTATCTTCAACCCGCTGGCTCACCTCCCAAATGGCTGCAACAGCCAGGGCTGGGCTAGGACAAAGCCAGGAGCCAGGAACTCCTCCTCCCACAGGGGTTTCAGGGGCTCAAGTAGTTGGGCCATCTTCATGGCTTTCCCACATGCATGAGCACAGAGCTAGATTAGAAGTGGAGCTGCTGGGACTCAAACTAGTGCCTATATGGGATGCAGACATCACAGGTGGCAGCTTAACACACTGTACCACAATGCCGACCCCTAGAACTAGCTTCTGGCCATAGCTTTTCTAAAACCTATGTGTCTCAGGATACTTTACAGCACTGATAAATCAACAGGTTAGTAGTAAGTTGATTAAAAGAAATGTTTATAAATATGCAAAGAAAATGTTTGCTATGCTTGACATAAATATTCATCTATTATCTAAAGTGCAATTTAAAATAAAAACAAAACAGGCCCAGCATGGAGGCAGTGGGGGCTGTAGCGGTGTGATAGGAGACTCAGGGTGCCTGCCCAGAAGTATGTCAGCCCGTCTTGACAAAGTCTTAGGCTCCAAAGAGCTGCCAAGAGGTCCCCCTGCCAATGGGGCCAAGCTATCCTGGGCAGTGGGCATCATCAAGGTGTACCTGCCCAACAAGCAACACATGGTGGTAACTGTCCGGGGTGGCTTGAGTGTCTGCACCCTGTAGGCCAAGCCCTCAAGTGCGGGGTCTCAGTCAGGACTGCTGTGTAGTCTGCTGACTCATCAAGGAGAGAAAGGCATCCACCGCCTGGGAAACAGCCATTGCCCCCCTTAGATGGAGGGGAGCTCATTGTCAAGGTCCTCAAAGACGGCCCTCTGATCATGCAGTTTTGTACAGAAGGTGTTCTTTAGCTTGGCATTCTGTGACTCCTGCCTTAAGCTTCTGTCCCATGGTTTCCAAACCTGTGGCTACAAGTTGCACCAGCATTGTCCCTCCAAGGTCCCCACAGTGTGTGTGGACAGGAGTGCCGACAGCTCTACCACAGCACTGATCTGTCTGGAGGCTCCAGGCAGCATGAGGCTCCTTCCAATCAGCCCCTGAATGAGCCGCTCGGGTCCCAGCTCTTGCACCCAGCACCATGACCCAGAGCATTTCCCCTTCCCTGCCCTGGCCAATGCCCCCTGTCAGCACCCCCCGCTCCCCATCCACTCCCAAGGTCCACATGGTCTGCACCACAGCCCCCACGGAGTCCAGCCTCATGCAGCTAGCTCGCTGCTCAGTCACAGCACTGATGCCGCTGGTGGTAGGGGTGGTGGTGATGGAGCCCCTGGTGGGAGCCCTAGCCTGGTCAGCATGTCTTCAGGGAGGAGGTCCCCACATTCCAAATCACCATCAGGGTGGCAGGAGTGGAAATCCACGGGCAACAAGAAAAAAGT